GTTTAGCTTGGTTTGCAAGATACAAATCTCCAAAGATAGGTAGATGAAACTGAAATTCGGATTTTAGAGTTTCAGCAGTGTGATCGAATTCAGTGAACTTGTCATTTTGGAGAGAATCTTTGAATGATCAAATGAGCTCCAAATCTGTTGAGACTTATTTTGTTGTTTCCTCCAAATAGTGTACTTCAACTCATATTAAGGAATCCAATTGAGTTACCATATTAATTTGGAAGATAATAATGTCACAACATGTCAACTCGATGTTGCCGAACAGGGACAAATATTTCAAAGGGCCCAAAACAGCACTGCATTCAAAATTAAGACCACTATATGAGACACTTAGAAGTTGAATCAGATCTTGGTCCAAAAATAAAGTTTATAGTACTCCACTAGAACTTCAACTTTTATTTAAGGTCAAACTTTAGAACTTGTTTCCACACTATTATTTAACCTTGGTCAAAGTAGCATCACGATAAACCTTAAATTGTCCTTTTTGATCCATTGAAGCATTTTCTTGAGATTTGCTCAACATGAACCCTTCATAACTTTTGTTGTAGAGTTCAATTAGAGTCATTTGGGCAAGGTATCATGGTTTGGTCGACATCCCATGTTCCCAGTTGCTAAATGAAGCAATTTAAGCAAAAATGTAACTAATCATTTCATGTGACTTTTTGGCTCCAAACTTTATGAAACTTTTCCAATAGTCAATGCAGATGGAAATAGATGTGAGGCACATGAAAGGGGCACCTTCATCATTATTTCCAGATTATAAACTAGAGATCATAATCATCGCTTGACATAGTTTACTTAAGTCCAAATCCACTGCTTAACTTGTGACTAACACCTAGGGTGTTACAACACTAGTGCATGTCAGTCTTGCATGGTCAAGATATCTATACTTAGGCTGTTGAGATCTGAACCAAAGCATACAGTACTACTACACATACTTTCTGAAAAGTATATTACTTTGTCTACAACTCTACAATCAGATTGCTTCTAGCAATTAACAACTCTATATTCAGATTGCTTCTGCAGGATATTGATGCTAAGTAATCCATCAATTTAACAGTCGTGAAAAAATGCACCGAAAAGACAGTGAACGAGATCGAACTCATAGACAGTTTAGCTGCTAGTTCTCCTAAGATGGCTGTTGTAACCGGTTACCGCCTCCTCTGTTGCCAGCCATTTCATGGAGTGGTGCTGACAGAAACAGGCATATAAGAGACGTAAGTTCTAGAGAACCATTAGCATCATACTAGGTTTCAAGTTGAACAAGGTGAAGAGAAAATTACAGCAGCAGCTAGACCCTACCTTAAGATAAGAGAGTTCTATTAATAAACAAAGACAAATTAGACATCTTGGTGGCACTAGATAAATAAGCAAGTTTCAACTGACTAAAATTTTCAGCCTTGTGGTTCCGCCGATAGCGAAAAATGCATAAAAGTATGGGTAGCAAAAAGAAATATTACAAAGAGGAACACACTAACATATTCCTGTTTAGTAAAAAGAGGCCAAATATATCCACATGAAAAGCAGGGGGAAAAAGGATGTGTAAGGCATGGCTGTTGCAGTTCACTTATAAAGTTCTTTAGAAAAGAACAATGGCTGCAGCACAACAAGATGGTCAAAGAAAACATCAAAGTTGATCCAATCATAGTTCCTCGCGTATCCTGGGTACATCTAATAGATCAATACAAATAGATTCAATCACAGGATTGTAAGGGAAGAAGTTGATCAAAGACAACAAGAAGCAGGTAGGATTCTTAAACTGCTGTAAGGGAAGATGAATTAACTAGTTAGCCATTGATGAACTAACAAAGCAGGCAATGGGTGTCATAGCAATAAAAAATACAGCAGCTACCCACTTAGTAATTCTTAGTACACATAGCAAAGTAGCATTTCTTTTCCCCGTTAACAGAGAGTTACAGATTAGTACAAAAATAATTAACTTGTGCTGATTGGGCAAAGAAAACTGAACTTACACTACTGGAAACTTGAATTGTTCTGTGGGTGACGAATTTTTCTGTGCGTTTTTTTCGGTACGCACAGAACAATTATGAATTTTTTGTCGGTTTCAAAATATCCCGACAGAAAAATACGTAAACCCACATAATAATTATATGATTTTTCTGTGCGTGAAAATACACACATGGAAAAAATCAGCACTCACAGAAAAATACAACTTATTATGTCGGTTCTTTAAAAACGCACAGAAAAAATACATGCACGCATAGAAAAAATATTATTATTCTATCAGTTATTTTAAAAAGCACAGAAAAAAACATACACATGCACAGAAAAATTCAAACGACCACTAGGACCTCCCTTCTTCCTACCCAGCGCCCCCCTCCCCCTCCCTTCTTCTTTCTCCGCACCCGCACAGAAAAAATACATGCACGCACAGAAAAAATATTATTATTCTATCAGTTATTTTAAAAAGCACAGAAAAAAACATACACATGCACAGAAAAATTCAAACGACCACTAGGACCTCCCTTCTTCCTACCCAGCGCCCCCCTCCCCCTCCCTTCTTCTTTCTCCGCACCCGTCTTCCTCCGCACCCGAACCCCAGCGCCCCCTCCCCCTCCCTTCTTCTTCCTCCGCACCCGGACCCCAGCGCCCCCTCCCTTCTTCTTCCCTGCACACCCGCCCCCACAGCCCTCCCTCCTGCCGCCGCCCCTCCCCTTCTTCTCCCCTTCTTCCCTGGTGCCGCCCCTCCCCGACCTTCTTCTTCCCCGGCGCCGCCCCTCCCTCTCTCGGATCCGGCGGGCTCGCTCCCTCCCCTCCCTTCCCTCCCTCTCGCCCCAGCTCGCTCCCTCCCCTCCCATCGCCCCAGCTCGCTCTCTCCCCGGATCCCACCGGCGGCCGGCCCCTCCCCTCCCTCTCTTCCCCGGCGCCGGCCCCTCCCTCTCCTTCCCTGCCCCCCTCTCTCTCCTCGAATCCGGCCGCCGTGCCGCCCCCTCTCTCTCCCCGGATCCGTCCGCCGTGCCGCCCCTCCCCTCCGGATCCGGCCCCGCCGCCTCCCTCCCTCCCTCCCGGATTTCCCCGGATCCGGCCGCCGCGCCGCCCCTCCCCTCTGGATCCGGTCCCGCCGCCTCCCTCCCTCCCTCCTCCGGATCCGGCGCCGCGGCATGGGTGGTGGTGGAGGTAGTGCGGGCTACCTGGGCGGCTCGAGGGGCGGTGACATACAGGAGAGTGTGGGATTCAGCAACCACGGCCGGATCCGTCAAGGTGGACGGCGACTGTGGCAGCCTCCAATGGATCCAGGTGGTTTCCGGTAGTCCTCTTCACCTGTACATCCCTATCAGCCGCAATGCTCTACTCTCATCTCCCCCCCCTCCCTTCTCTGCTGATCCATCCCAACAGCAGCAGCTCGGCTCACTTGTGCTCCTCACTGTTAGGTTGCAGCACTTTGGTTGGATGAATTGTGTTCTCTTTGCTGGTACAGAAGCAATGTACTGTTTTTTTATCATTAAATTTCAGTTTGGTGTGCAGGTAAAGTGTAACTCGAACTGCAGGGGGGGGTGTTAAATTACATTGCCTAATCATTGTTTAATAATTGCAGCTCTTATTAGTTCAATCTTTTTGCCTAATTAAGGTCCCGGTATGCCAATGTCTATATTGTAAATGTGTTGGCTGGCAACAATTTATTTTATTGTTGATTAAACTGTGGTTGTACGAGCCCAATAATAATGCAAACACCACTCTGAGTGCCTTATTAGTATTCTGTGAAGTGCATTCAGTAGCAGACCAATACGATGGCTACAGTGGTGTTAACATGCCACACACAGTGGTGTTTCCATTATTTAATCTTTGTATGAATGGTAATGAGTGAGTGTAGCATACTCATACATATGTGATACTGGTTTATTTAGCCATGATACTGCTTTCCTGTTTATTAGCTGTCCATAGTTCCATGGTTTAGTTAGTAATCTCAACTTACTTTTCCATGTTCAATTAGAGCTTCTGTTAGCTGTATAATTACTGAGTAATTTAATTCGTGCTTTGCTGCTTTGCTTCCGTGCTGCTTGAGAATTTCCTAATTGTTCCTAGTGTTTTAGTACTATGATATCTGGTTGTTTTTTCTTCCTTAGTTCTAACCTGTTTATGTCTTGTCTGATCTTGTCATAGGCTTACACGGTGTCATTTTATTGCTGCATTACTAAGAGAAGATGGAATTCTCACTGCAGCCATTTGCAAACTTGAATGAGCCCCTGATTACACTTGACAAAGGTGAATTTAGTTTTTGTTCAATCAAGTTTAGAAAAAAAAAACATGTTCAAATTGTAGTGATTACCTTAAGGAATCCCTTATAGTGCATCTCTGGTGTATTTTCTATGACTGGGCTGGCGTTTGTTATATATGTTTTAGCATAGGTGAGGCGAGCTCGTCCCAACCTCATATTTCAGAAATTAAGATAACTCTTCTGAATGTACTACTGTGTATGTAGTTTTGAGTGGTACTGACTACTATTTTTCATGAGAGGAGTGAAACAAGAAGTGCTGCCATGATGCTGATAATTATTTATCTGCACTTTGCTATTTTTCCAGCGCATGGATGTTGGGTTCAGGCCGCTGGGGCCTGGGAGGGATGCGTCCTTGAGGTCACACCCCTGCATGTTGGAGCAGCGCTTGCCTGCCTCCACCATTCACGTACCTTGTGACTTTTTTTTTTTGTACTACTCTTGAGTGGCTACGATGAATCAAGTTTTCATTAAAGAACTTCTGCACTTTAGCACCTTATGAGCCGGTACTTGGGATATTTTGTTCTGTTTGCTGCTTAACTAGGATGGCTTGTACCAGTACAAGCAACCAGTTCTGTGGCCAGTTCAATTCCCATTAGAGAGAGAATTAAATTAAGCTCCAGATGAAATTAAGTTGCAGTTGTTATGCTGATAATGGGTAAATCTGAGCCATTTCTCGAGTTCTTTTGCTCTTGTTCTTTTGCGCCAGATGAAATATATATAGTTCTTGTGCTTTTGCACTGTTAACCCAGGAATCCTATAGTGCATCAGTGTTATCCCATGGACTTTCATTTGATTTCCCTGTATTCCATGTGTCTGATTCTTTTGGGACTTTCAAATGCTCATCAGACTCCATCTTATCTTTCTCACCCCAACTGGATCCTGCATTAGACTTGGCATTTGGTCTTCCAATTCCATCTCCAGCATTCCAAGCATTGCCTGATGGTGGCATCACATTGTTATACGAGGAATCATGATCAGCATTTGTCTTCTTCCGTTTGTAAGTGCTTGGCTGCTGCTCCCATTGGTAGTTACTATCTGCCTTCTTTTTGCCCCTGGCATTTCCAGTTCCTGCAGTTCCTCGATGAGGAGAAGTTCAAGGAGACGGTGCACAAGTGAGTACTCGCCATGATCATGAATGGGGTTTTTGGAGCCTTGCTTTGCTGGGTGAGCTAGGATTTCTGATGCTTTTTGCGGTTGCCCGTGCAATCTGGAGCAGGAGTCGGGCTTCTACTTCAACATGAAGCACTTCGAGGACCTCGTGCAGGGCGGCGAGTGAGACGAGGTGGAGAGGTACCTCAGCGGCTTCACCAAGCTGGAGGACAACCGCTGCTCCATGAAGATCTTCTTTGACATCCGCAAGCAGAAGTACCTCGAGGCCCTTGATAGGCTCTAATATGTTAGCTTTAGTTTTAGCTATAATATGACTCAATGATGCATGCTAGTACTTTACTCATCTTGATTGAGACTTGAACTGTTGAGATGAGATGGTAATGCTTTTGAATGTATTGATGCCGGACCATTTGGACATCATCTATATGTAGCCCGGATGCCATTAATGAATGTGCTGAACATTTGGATCTTTATATGTATGCTATCTATTAAGTTATGATGAAATTACAGTATGGATAGTCCATATTTAATATGTTGTTGCTACTGTGAGAAAAAATCATTTAATCTGGGCTAACGTAATTTTTCTGTGCGTGTAACACCCACAGAAAAATCATTTTTTTGTCGGGCTTTTCTTTTTTCCTGTGGGGATTAACGCACACAACATTTAAAATTAATCTAGGCTAACGCAATTTTTCTGTGTGTGTAACACGCACAAAAAAATTGTTTCTGACGGCGAACACACAGAACAATTGAATTTTTCTGTCATTATATTTCCATGGGTATTTTTCTGAAGGTACACCATCAGAAAAATATTTTTCTGACGGTATTCGCATTTTTCTATGTGTTTTCGCACACACAGAAAAATGCGAGATTGTGTTAGTAATAAATCAACTTTGGCGTAGAATCGATTAGCAGAGATATACAACCTGCTAGTGTTGTTACATGTAAACTACTGCTGCATATAGAATATCTTCCTATAATGTAATATGGGTCCCATTTCATTGAACTCGTAAGTAACATAATGGTGCAAAAGGAAATGGAAGAAAAAACAAGCATGATGTAAGAACTATCATCATTTAAAGCAATCGACAAAAGCTAGTTCAACAAGCTTAATCATTCTGTCTGCTTAACTAACCATCCTGGCAAGCCACCTGTCCTCAGCACCATGGCCTAAATCAAGAAAATCTCTCCTTGGTTCCTTGCTAGTCTACACATGGGTCCCAGGTTGTGGTGCACTAGTATTTCTTGTTAGATAATCTACTGCTACCTTGTGTGAACACAGCAAGGGGAAGGTGGCGCCGAAAAAGGCCTCCTGCTGTGATATTGTAGCCGCTGCAGGTGCAGGCGCCGAACTGCTCACCTGCAGCACTGTAGGCACATACAGTGGCCAGCGCAGAGTCAGCCATGTATGTTATCTAGTCACTATTTCAGCAGGGCAGCTGTACTGAGACTAGATGGATAGAGTTGTACAAATAGACATACAAGGTAACTCTGTAAAGAGAGTTCAGATTTACCATCTCACAGACAAGGCTTCAGCCAACGCTGGTGTCTTGTATTGTGCGTGCTTGCTCTATTCTCCCTTCTTCTTCTAGCTCTGGTCTTAGTGTGTGGGGACGGACAACGCTCGTTCATAGTCGGCACGGCTAATGTGTGCTCGGCAACACTAGCGGATGCTCGGCAAGACCGGCGAGTGGTTCACTCGCTTGAGTCGGTGATCCTATGGGCCAACAAGTGGTATCAGAGCCGTAAGTGCGCCGTCGTCAGACTAACCGCTGGCGATGACGGGCGGTTCGGAGATGGACGACAGCAGTGGCACTGCTGTGGCTGCCCAGACACGACCGGAGATTGTTGTTCGCACGGTGCGAGAGGTCAGCGACACTAGTTGGCCGCCGCTGACTCGCACCAACTATGGAGAGTGGTCGGTGACCATGAAGGTCAAGCTCAGAGCCCGACGGCTCTGGAATGCTATTGACAAGGGCACCGAAAATGAAGAAGATGACATATCAGCGCTAGAGGCTATCCTCGCTGCTGTACCGACGGAGTACAGGGAGTCGTTGGCGGCAAAAAGCTCAGCTAAGGAGGTGTGGGAGGCTATTGCGGCGATGCGCGTCGGTTCCGACCATGCAAAGAAGGCGACGGCCCAGCTTCTGAAGAAGGAGTATGCCAACCTCAAATTCAAGGATGGTGAAACAGTGGAGGACTTCTCCCTTCGCCTACAGACGTTCATCAGCAAGCTGAAGAGCCACGGTGTCACCATCGATGAAGAGAAGGCGGTCTCCAAGTACCTCTACTCCGTGCCAGCAAAGTACATCTAGATCGCTCTCTCCATAGGGACAATGCTGGACTTGTCCACCCTCACCATTGAGGATGTGACAGGCCGTCTGTGGGCGGTGGACGAGCGCCTGGAGCAGGCGACAGCAACGAAGGACAGCGGCAAACTCCTGCTAATGGAAGAGTGGGCTGCTCGGAGGAACTCTGGGAAGGCAGCCTCCTCCAGTCGCGGTGGCGATGGCAAGTGCCGCGGCAAGGCTTCTTCGAAGAAGAAGCAGGTCGACCCCAACGCCTGTCGGTGTTGCGGGAAGATGGGCCATTGGGCACGGGAGTGCCCAAACCACAAGCAGGAGAAGAAGGCTCAGGCTCACCTTGCGCAAGCCGATGATGAGGATGAGGCTACTATCCGGATGGCGATGTTCTGTGCACTGCACGACGTCGAGGCCGAGGAGAGGGAAGAGGCGACGACTATGGAAGGACCTGGGAAGGCCCTGAAGACCATCAACCTCGATGAACCATGAGCCCAAGTTCACCTCAGGCGTGTGGGCGCCGACCAGGAGCAGCGGTGGTATCTGGACTCTGGTGCCAGCAACCACATGACGGGCTCCAAGGCATCCTTCTCCGAGCTCGACGACGATGTTACCGGTACGGTGAAGTTTGGTGACGGCTCAAGGGTGGCTATCCAAGGGCGCGGCACCATATCTTCAGATGCCAGAACGGGGAGCACCGCACGCTAATAGATGTATATTACATCCCGCAGCTGTGTTCCAGCATCATCAGCATTGGTCAGCTGGATGAGCGCGGTAGCGAGGTACTGATCAAGGACGGCGTCCTTAGGATCAAGGACCGGGAGCAGTGACTTCTTGCCAAAGTGAAGAGGTCCCTAAACCGGTTGTACCTACTCGACCTGAAGGTAGAGCAGCCGGTGTGCCTGGCGGCAAGGCACTCCGAGGAACCGTGGATGTGGCATGCCCGGTTTGGACATATTAGCTTCGACGCGCTTGGTTGGCTGGAGAAGATGGTCCGAGGGCTACCCCACATCAAGCACAGAGGCGAGCTGTGTGACAGCTGCCTGGCCTGGAAGCAGAGGAGGCTACCTTTCCCAAAGGCGACCAAGTATCGCGCGAAGGAAGCTCTCAAGCTCATTCACGGTGACCTTTGCAGGCCGATCACACCTGCTACATGCGGTGGTCGGTGGTACTTCCTCCTACTCATGGATGATTGCAGTCGCTACACGTGGCTGCAACTCCTGACGAGCAAGGATGAAGCGGCGTCGGTGATTAAGAAGTTCAAGACGCGCGTGGAGGCCGAGAGCGGCAAGAAGCTCCGCGTGCTGAGGACTGATCACAGTGGTGAATTCACTTCGGTGTAGTTCGCTGCGTACTGCGCGGATCAGGGTGTGGGGCAACACCACACCACGCCGTACTCACCACAATAGAATGGCATGGTGGAGCGATGGAACCAGACGATGGTCGGCATGGCCTGATCCATGATGAAGGCCAAAGGCATGCCGGCAAGGTTCTGGGGAGAGGCGGTGACCACGGCGGTGTTCATCCTCAACCGCGCTCCGACCAAGGCCCTGATGGGCAAGACGCCGTTCGAAGCTTGGTATGGGTGCAAGCCGAGCATGTCCTTCCTCCAGGCATTCGGTTGCATCGGCCACGTCAAGAAGAAGAAGCCGAACCTCACCAAGCTGGAGGATAGGAGCACACCGATGGTGTTCCTAGGCTACACGGAGGGTACCAAGGCGTACCGGCTCTATGACCCACACGGAGACAAGGTGCTTGTCTCACGCGACGTCATGTTTGATGAGGAGGCAGCTTGGGACTGGAGCAGTCCAAGCATGGGGGAAGCTGGTAGCTTCACCAACACCTTCGTCGTCGAGCACTTGGTCATCCACGGTGGTGGAGACGCTGGGAAGAGGTGCCGAGCACTCCAACGGTGGAGTCGAGCACTACTAGGGCAGTGCCGAGCACTTCTGGAGGGATGCCGAGCACGCCAGGAGTGGTGGCGACCACTCCAAGACGGGTGCCGAGCACTCTCGTGGCGGAGCCAAGACGTCTTGCAGTGGTGCCAACCACTCCAAGACTGAGGCTGGGCACTCCTATAGTGTGGCCAAACACTGCAGGAGTTATGACAAGCTGTCCAGAAGTAGTGTCGAGCACTTCACGTGCTATGCCAAGCACTCCGGCGGAATAGGGGACTCCATCGATGCCGATCGAGTTCGCCCCACCTCCAAGTGACATCACTGAGTTCATGGACGCCTACCATGAAGGTGAGGAGGTGCGGTTCCACAAGTTGGACAACATCGTCGGTGGCACAGGTCCCTCGGGTCTGGCGGGCAGGCTGCTCAACGACGCAAAGCTGCTACTCATCAGTGCAGAGGAACCACCCACGTTCACGCTTGACGAGCACGATGGAAACTGGCAACGGGCGATGCTGGAGGAGATGAAGGCGATCGAGGAAAACAAGACTTGGCAGCTCGTCGATCCACCTCCAGGATGTCGTCCGATCAGCCTGAAGTGGGTCTACAAAGTCAAGCGGGACAAGCTCGGTGCCATTGTCAAGCACAAGGCGTGCCTCGTCGCCCGAGGCTTTGTTCAGCGCGAGGGCATCGACTTCGAGGAGGTCTTTGCACCAGTAGCGCGCATGGAGTCGGTTCGTTTGCTACTAGCCTTGGCAGCAACAAAGGACTGGCGCGTCCATCACTTGAACGTTAAATCGGCCTTCCTCAACAGCGAATTGGCGGAAACGGTCTTCGTCAGGCAACCTCCAGGTTTTGCCATCAAGGGAGAGGAGCACAAGGTGCTTCGACTGCGCAAGGTGCTCTACGGACTGTAGCAAGCCCCTAGAGCATGGAACGCCAAGTTTGACGCCACGTTGGGCGAGCTTGGGTTTCAAAGGTGCGCAACCGAGCATGCGCTCTACATGCGACGATAGGGGAAGGAGGAGCTCGTGGTCGACGTGTATGT